GATGACTTTTAGGAAAGTCTCAGGTTCCAAAGTTTTTTTCACAAGGTCGCCGGACTCCCATGTTGCAAGCACAATCTCTTCATCCTCCGAAATATCAAGTTCCTGGAGTGTAAGAAACTGGCCTTTTGGGCAGTGATCACAGTCTCCTTGAAGGCACAGTTCTGTTACTGGGTTGCACAGAAATGCCGAGTTCATTTCACCAGTGTTGAATGTTGAGCCTGTAACGTTCTCTAGAGCGGCAATACAAAGATAATAATTGGCGCAGCGCACACAAACGCACACTTCCTGGTGTGGAATACATTGGACCCATCTAGGGCGCAACGAATAAAATTTCGTTAGCCCAACGCCGGAATCGTGATGCTTGTCTTTGTATATACGGAAGGCCTCTCGTATTGAGCGTGTCATGAAGCGCTTGGCACGAACGTTTTCTCTCCGTTGAGCATGACAGAGATGACGTCCTTCTGGTTGGGACTTTGGCGCGAACATTGTAGCTCGTCTTTCGTGAAGTACTCTAGGGCAGCAAACAGGTTCTCAGGGCTCACCTTGCACCTCGTGTAAGGATCCGGCTCATACCACACGCCATGCTTTTCCTTGAGTTTTCGGGATTTACAGATGAGGTACATTGAGGCCTGTGGAATCATCTTTTGAACCTCATTCTTCGTCGGTGTTGACGGCAGGAGTGTAAGCAGTTGACAACGTTCCCGGAGAGAGGTGGCGGTTTCAAAGGCCTGCCGAAAGTTGTCCACCCACTCAGTGCATGTGGAGCATGTTGGTTCGGACTTCCCCGATGGTGCGTCCCTGTCGTACGCAATACGTAGCCTTGAGCGTGTATTCTTGACAGCAACCTGCTCCAGTTCTGTCTGCTTTCTCTTTACATAGGCAGGCCTGTCCCGACTTCTCACGACGCTTGGTTGTCTCAGCGGCGACACATCTGTAGGTAGTATGCTGCGATTTAGATCTTCAATTGCTTCTTCAGCTGGCACAAATATCTCAGGGCACTGCTCTGAGCTTCGCATCGAGATCTCCTTAGTGATGTGCATGAAGCAATGGTAGCACAGGTAGTCCGTCTTACTACGATAACATGGCGACAGCGTTTACACTCTATGTATTTACGCGAGGCTCGAGTATTTGGGGATAATGCTGCCGGTTGGTGTGCCCCTTTGTGCCTGATATTATCGCCCGTGACGCCAGCGAGTGAGATGGCGACAGGCATGACTGCTCAGTAAACAGGCGTCGGCGGCCATGTTTTTTCTGGTTGAAGCGAGCCCCCTTGTCCTTGACAGCGAGCGGGGAAATGCGAAAAAAAGATTGTATCGGCCGTTTTGCCAGAACTAGCGACGAGTGTCGTCTGCGGTTTCCGGCAACTATTTTGCCATAATCGTGAGCTTAGCGAGGAAATGATTTTTGCTAGCCACAGAACACTACCACGCAGAAAGGGAATGCTTGAACATGTTTTTGTTCTGGATATATATCAGGGATATATATGAGAGAGAGAGAGAGACGAAGGTAGAGCGGAAGAGGGAATAGCATATAGTGTCGCAGGAGAATAAAGTAAACAAAGTTCCTAGTGGCCGATGGCTGCATGATTTTTCTCGGATCACTAGTCCCTAATATGATACCTCTTTGTACACAGTAGTTTCTCCTTAATTTAAGTGTGTGAACGATTTCTTTAGTTATCATTGGCCTCATCTGAATAAAAATATATAAAAGATGTGTGTTGGTTTCATGAAACTGGAACTCAGAGTCAGTTCTTGTATAAAACACTGCTAAGTGTAGGCTTTGAAAAAGGACCCTACTTTGGGGAGTTGTATCTTCTTTCTCAATAAAATGATGCAACATGTTTTAATGGAAATGAATGCCGAAATAGAGTATAACAGGTTACCTAAATTTAAAAAAAATCGAGGGTGGTGTTTTTTTTTATTCGCATCGGAATTTTTCTTTGTTTGATTTTTTTTCCATGTTTGACTAAATATATCCTAACTATTGTATCACACAGATACCTTAGTTATTTTTTAAATATTAGCTATATATTAGTAGAATAATATCTGCAAATTATATCATAATGATTAAATTATTTCACGAGATACAGACCTCCAAATTTTGCCATTTGTCGTTCGAGCAGGCATGTTTGTCAATTTTTAGAAAAATAAATAAATTTTAAATAAATATGATTACTTTATATTACAAGCAAGCTGTACCCGTAGTTTGCGCCTAAAACGTATTAGAGTTCTCCTAATGTTAGCGCTTTAGTTATTCACTCTCAAACGGGCCCCCTCCATCAGTGCGCGTTAATGCAACTGTCCACCACCTCATGCATTACGATTTTTCCTGTCCCCAAGTATTTTTTCTAGTCAAAACTAAGTTTGGATTCGTTCATACCAGACACTAGACAATAACATAGAAAAACATCAGTTGATTTGAAAATGTCGACTAGCCATCCTTTGGTCGATCTTTTCTGAAATCACCCAGGAGCTATTTTTACATGATACATCGCGCATAAAAAACTACACCAAGCCAATACGTGCCCGCCCTGTTACAACCGTTTGCTCGTCCAGAGGTGTCGATTTTTGCTAACAGTGTAGTAGTCTTTCTGCGCCCGCAACAACCGCGGTAAGAGTCTGTGCGAGCAGAGCACGAGGTGGCACTAGCTGTCTCGTGAACTGGCATCTGCCTCCTATGAACTAAAGTCATGGCGGCTCATGGAACTGGAAGCGAATCCGCAACCGGAAAGCGCATCAGCGCGTTCTCAACCGCAAAGCAGCTGGGATCGAGCGGTTGGGGCGTGTTTTTGCCAGACCGCTTCGGAACCGATTTCTCCCGACCGCTTTCGCGAACTGTGAAGCGGCAAAAAATCTCAACTCGACGCTAACGTGACGTCAGTTGCTTTCGGAACAAGATGGCGCCTGTCGCTGGAGATGCGTCCAAGGCGCTGCAGTCCTAGCGGTGAAGCAGATAAAGAAACGAAGAAACGTGATGTTCACGTCGGTCACTTGATTCAGCCGCGAAAAGAATTGACTCGTAATCTTAACGGTCTTCGCTCCGGTGATTAAAATCGGGTAAGAGTTTTTTCTTATTTTTTTTTTAATAGAGATGTCAAGGCCCGTTGCCTTCTGCCTTGCTATAGTCTTTGCCCGTAGAAATTTATAACCCACCCCCAATCGATCAAAATGACAGCTTTTGTAACCACTAAGACAGTCGCGTGAATTACTGAAAGATTCCTACACAGTGCATGACCACCACGAAGGCGTCGTGAGCCCATTTGCGATAACGTCGTGAGCCCATTAGCGTAGCCAACGCATTACCACGGATTTGGCAAGGTACCTGCGCTAGCTCGACCTGTAGGGTTTACTTCTAGCAAAAGGAATAAGGGGAACTACTCAAAAAATAAAATGTACTTGCATGACAATGTATAAGAAATCCATACGGCATTTATTCGAGCTTAATGCCAAACAAGTAGTCTCGATCGACGTGCCAGTGACGAGAGGAGAGTCCGCCACCAACGAAGCCACGACCGGCTAGCACCCAACACATTCCCCTGCACCACAGTTCACCAGTGCCGCTCACAGCTCCGGAAATGATAAGAGCGAACAATGCGGTGGAAAAACTGGCCCTCTATTTCAAAAACAAGGTCAGCTATTTATGCGGGAAGGGCCACTTCGAAGGAAGGGTCGTGCCGTTCTCTTCTGAGTCAGCAAGGCGCTCCCACGTCTGGCTGGGCTTTGCTTGTGTACGAAGTCGAGAAAATCGCAGGCGGGGTTTGTGGGTCTATGTCCCTTTTTCCGCTGCCCGAATCTCGTAATGCGTGCGAACAACGACAACCCGAAGAAAAATCTTTGGAGTGCCAAAATAGCTCTGGTTCGGCTTTGGATCTTGGATTAAAGTGGACTTTGGCCATGTTGAAATAACCTGAGGCTGGGGTAGAGAAGAAACGTCAGAACGTAGAACAGACAGAAGAGAGAAAGGTCGACGTCTCCAACTCAGCTCAATGACGTCGTCCTATTTTCTGTCTCTTCTACGTGTTGACGTTTCTTCTTTACCTCAGGTCAATTCAACATGGTTGATAATCACCAGCTCGCCTGCACCCTTCTTATATTTTTTCTGGACTTTCGATTGGAAGACCCAATTGTCCAACGCAAGTCTCAAAATGTCACGTGTGAACGTCGAGAAACCACCAACCGCGTCTCGGTCTGTCTAAACGCGGTCACTCTGAACCGTATTCACAACCGCTTCGCAAACGCATCTCAACCGCCAGTGTGATTGCGCCATTAGTGAGATCGGTCTATTGTAACCATGGAGGTAGAAAGAAAAGGAGGCGACATAGAGGTCGCCTCCTTTTCTTTTAGCTGATCGTTTTTTCGCCCCGATAACGACACCCGAGAGCGACGCGATGCATGCCCAAGGCCGCAGGAGGGGAGAGCAGGTATCCTAATCGGGGCGAAAAAACGATCTGCCAAACCTCTCGAATACCAAGTGAAGCCGGAAGTTGAGAACGCGGGTGGTGGAATGCCCCCAAGGGAGACCAAAGCCACACCAGGCCGCTTCTGGTCCCAAATCAGCCCTTCTTTCAGTCCAAAAGCGACTTTAGCTTTCGGTCAATGTTGGGGGCGTGTCCTGAACCGGAAGTTTCTCGCGGACTCACCTCTGGTGGCGTCATGTCACCAACAGAACACCCCAATGATTGAAACTTTAGCGCACTACCGAACTTCGTACCCGCTTTATGTATATCTAATATTTACTCTTTAGTGGTTTTCGTCGTTCGACGGCATTCAGAGGATCTCTGATTTGAATCATATGTTTTTTTTTTTCAATCATCAAAAAGTTTATCAACATATTTTGTTAAATAACTGATTTATCATGATAATTATCGAACTATATGATATGAGTCATCGACCGTATAACTCACATATAAAGACCGCATTAGTGTAGCTTGCATGTCTTTTTTTTAAACATATCTGTAAGTCCTCAAAAAAAAAAACGCCCTGTATTTCTTAATCACATACCTGCCATGCATCTTGCAGGGGCCCAAGTTCTGCGTCGTTGAATGTAGGGTTGTTTTCTGGGTTTTTTATGGTCATATTTCTCGTCCAGGGAAAGCTAGTCACCGCAGGCCCCACCATGGTCGCGACGACGCACGCCAACAACACAGCGTATTGCGGGCCCATTGCAGAGGAGGCAATCCACATTCGCTGCTGCTTCGAGATCGACTGAACACTGCCGAAGTTATATAGGGAGTTTGTATTGCTTTTTTTTTGTCTTTTTAAAATACAGCTGCACCGGATCATAGCTGACGTGTTTGACAAGACTCTGTTAAGAGCAAATCATTTTATAGAGAGCGCCGTTGGTTGAGTCAGGAGCGACCTCACAAAATGAATGGAACAGGTGTTCGCCATACACAACAGAATACAAAAAAAAAATTATGAATTTTATTTTTACCGGCGCCCTCGTCGCTTTGGTGTCTGTGGTTCCGGCAGGCACTAACGGATGTAACAGCATTGAAGCGACATAAACGACAAAGTCACATTTCGCTGTACGCGTCGTGGAAATAAACCCAAAATTTAACTGACGCGATTAAGACAAAAAACTGACTGTGCGCCGGAAGGGCGTATTCCAGATCAAGACAATCAACCACTTTTTATTGCACCCCGGCTTGCACTGCTGTGGGGAGTTTATGGTAAGAAAGAAGAAAACGAGATACGATGTGGCCAACTATAGACACTGACGTCCTAGGCAACACAATGCGTGGCTGGACCCAATAGTCTTATTATCGCTCAGAAACCGATTAGATTTCGGGATTTTCTGTTAACAACGCCAAAGAAGGAATCACAAAGCGAGAATAGTTAGGACAGAACGAGCGGGTTGGTATGGATACTTAAACTTGAGGAAGAAAACGAGAAGGCACGAACAAACGTCCGTCCCTTCTCGTTGTCTTCCTCAAGTTTAATTAATGAGAATAGTTAGTGTAGTAAATCACACGCCTGGCGTTTTTTGAGCCGTCAGTAACTGTATATGGGATGTCCCATGTCACCAGGCTCGAGCTAAAATAAACAGTAAAAATCGACGCCTGCATTTAGCAATCCAAACTTTTCGTCAAATGTGTATTACACAGGTCAGATTTTTATTTTGGTAAAATTAGAACGCGTAGCTCTCTTTCTGTAAAATATAGGGCCAAGAAACTTGCCAGGGTCAACGGCGGGCTGCGACGCAGACGACCAAGTCGACTGAGGGACGCGTTTGGCGCTCGCATTAATAGATGGCGCTAGCTCCTTATCAAGACTGCTCGCAACCCGCGTGGTTTATTAAAATAAACATAGTTTTTTTTTTTGTATTTCTTTTTTTTGAAGTACCTTTGGTTTAAGAGTTAATGCAGACAATAAAAACAAAACAAAGTTTAAAAAGACGGGTTGCATAACGACGGCGTTTTTGCTGCCAACGGACTTCACCTGCGTGTCGTCTGCTCTCTTTCGCTCGTCGGCTACACCCAACGTTATTAGATTAGCTTAGCTACGGAACTGCTCACATACGCTGCATGCACGAGCAGTACCCACTCTCTCACCACGACTCGCCTCCCGTCGTTCGACGCGCCGGGCGGCTGCTTTGGTAACTGCAGTGTATTCTAGGGGATACGTACATTTCGAAGCGCAGCGTCTAGATGGCGTTCCACCGTACACTACGGAGCACACAGTTCGTAAACGAAAATCTAGATGGCGCTTCGAACGACGGGAGGCGGACTAAAGTGAGTGAGGGGGGGGGGGGGGGAGCTTCTTCCGCGCGAGTACCACAACTGAAGTAATCTAGTAACTTTGGCTACAACCTTCGGACGCTGCTCCCGACTCCATCTATCAATACGCGCGCCGAACACGCCCCGCAACTCGATTTGCTCGTCTGCGTCGGCGTCCTCTGTTGACCACGGCAAGTTTCTTGGCCCTATTTTTTTACAGAAAGGGGGCTACGCTTTGTAAATTTACAAGAAAATCCGACCTGTGAAATACATCTTTGATGAAAAGTTTAGATTGCTTCGTGCAGGCACCGGTTTGTACTGTCCATTTTAGGTCAAGCCTGGTGGCTTGGAACATTCTATATATAGCTTATAAAACTGTTATTAGGTCAATAACAGAATAATAAACCATATTTTTTATCTTTTGTATAAAGCCACACCCTACGATTTTAGAGAAGGCTACAAGAAATCCCTAAAGCCGGGGTCACACAGCTCATACATCATATAAAGACAGTCTGCAAACACGAGTCACTGCAATGTCCGTGGTTCGAATGCCGGGAGCGCAAGTTTCCTCCCTGAACTCAATGCCACTCGGCATTCGAAATACGGATCTCGCGGTGACTCTCGGTCGAATCTCTCTGCAGACTGTTTTTTTTTTTTGTGTACAAGCAGCGTGACCCCGGATTTATGTTTATATTTTGAACGTAAAAGGTGACATTGGTTGCTTATCTAGCCCACAGAGCTGGTATTCTATTACTGACCAAAACGAAATCGATCTTGCAGACTTAAATTTGTGCAACCGAATATACGGGTTCGTTAAATAATGAATCTCGATAATTACATCGAATTTTCACAAGGGTATTCGACGAGACCACGGCAAAGATTTTTTCCATATTTTTAGGTACATATCGTAATATTGGTTGTAATTTTTCATTATTCCACAAAAGCTGGAGGCGTGGAACAGACTTTTTTTGTTATAATACAGTTCAGCCGAAGTCAAACAGATAATTGTTGCGCTTCTCGTTTAAATTAATTATATATTTGACTTTATTAGTTTCGTTTAGTTGTTTGGGGCCTTCTTCGTTACTTCTGATTACTTTTATTATATTGTTGTATAACACCTTTCACAGCCTGCTTGCGTGATTAGAAGAATTGTAAAAACAACAACAGAAAAATGAAAGATGTTTACATCTTCCTGTAACGCCGAATTAGAGCGCAGCTGTTGAGGAGGAGAAGGGGAGGGTACTCATACAAAACTTGAAAGTATAAAACAGCGAGGACGAGGACGGCATCAGGACATCTTTCATTTAATAACAACATAGAATGGCACAACGATAAAACCGCCCCCCCCCTCCCAAAGGTTCCAACGTTCTCAAAGAGCGAAAGCTAGGAGATAATTTTTTTTAAAGGAAAGGCAATTTACTGTGAATTTAAAAGTTTAAAAAGCGCTGGCGTCATGGCGAGGTATTACAAATGTAGTTATCTGTGATTACTTAGAATTCGACCTTTGCCATTGTCAATGACAATGAAGGCGTAGAAATATTGTTGTTTACAATCCCAAAAGGAAAAAAAATGTTATATTAATATAAAATTTAAAAAGTTCTAGCGTCATGACGAGGTGTCAGTAATCTAGTCATATCTCGTGTTAGGAGTTCGAGCTCTGTCTTTGTCAATGATAATGAAGGTGCAGAAATGTTGTTGATTACAGTCCCCATGGCAAATGAGACAATGATATCTCTCCCAAATCTGTTGTTGTGCCTGCCCAGTATTCTAGTGGCAGAGAAAGAAGGAGAACCGGCTGTGACCAACAATTGGGTAATACGACTCATTTGAAGCCTTTGATGCTTCCAAGTTGTGTTCTCTGAGTCGATGGTTGACGCATCTCCCGGTCTGTCGAATTTACTGACTGCCACAGCTTAGTGGAAATGAATAAACCTTTCTTTCTTCGCATTCTACAAGCTTTTTGACAGCATTACATTGCACCCTTTGGGACTGTCGCTCGTATTAACGTTTTTACAATCTGTTTTAGGCACATACAACAGGAAAAAACAACACTGGTGTTGAGCTTGGACGCGATAGATCTTAAACGGTGCGCGGAATTGTGCGTGTAGGGAATCACAGCGAAACGACCTTTCTTTTTGGGAAAAGATTGCCGAAGTTTTGGTTTGTGAATGAACCTCTCAAGGGTGGAACGAGGACGGTCAGCAAGAAAGCCTGCTTTTTCCAACCTCTGCTGCTGCAACTTGAGGCTACTTTCAGAGAAATGCGTGCACGACTTGGAGAATGAGGACTTGAAAAGTGACCTTACTATGGCATACTTAACTGACTTGGAGTGAGCACTGGTGAAAGAAAGGACTGGCGTCTCCGAACTCTGCTGGAAGGCCCAACAAACACCTGTGGAATGAGGATGTAATTCTAAACCTAGGAATTGTAATCCTCCCGTAGAAGGAGTTTCCCGGGTAAAAGTTAGTCCCACCTCACAGTCTGAAAACTTCAAAGATGCCATCAGCGGACACAGCGTCTGGATAAATGACCAAGTAATTATCAACGTACCTAAACACTAGGCAACCCTGGAAGGACTTGTCCAACTAATCGTTGATAGCCCTGTCAACAAAAGGAAGAAATATTTCACTAAGGACAGGTGCAAGGCAAGAGCCTATACAAACTCCCTTCTATTGCCTGTAAATATTTCCTTCGTTTTCTACTAAATTGGACTGGAAGTTAATATTTATCAGGTCGATGAAGCCCTCAACCGAAACACAGGAGGAATTTTGAAAGTCGCAAAGTTTGTGTTCATGGATCGCATTAGTCACATAATCTAAGATGAGTTTTGGTTCTAGGCTGTAATACATATTTTCAATGTCGAAAGACATAATTGAGTGCGGAATGGAACTAAAATAGAGCGAATTTGAAGCAGGGGATTAATTCAAAGAAGTTTTTGAGTCTGAAAGATGTTTTTGAGATAACGACCCAAAGGTTTTTGCAAACAGCCAATTTCTGAAACTATGCTCCTCAAGGGAACTGCATACTTGTGAGTCTTTGCAGTAAGGAACACGGACAAATACTGTTTGGCAGGACTCTTAAGAGAGGTCAAGTTCAAGGAGGAACAAAGTTCCGTTGCCGTCGACCGCAGTCTACCCGAAGGTGTTTTAACCAACACGCTCGTTTTCAATTGTAAATTAGGGTACTGAGGGGACAGTATGTCCCTCTTCCCCCTTCCCTTTCGCCCTCCTCATTTCCTCCTCCTGTGTCTTCCTCCCCTCCTCCCTCCTCCTTCCTCATCCATTGCTCCTCTTCATCCATTGCTCCTCTTCATAATCCATACTTTTCCTCCTCCCTCCTCAACCTCCTTCACTCCCTCCACCTTCCTCTACCTCCTCCCCTTCAACCCGACTGGACGTTTCCCATAATGCAAAGCGCGTGTCGCGGGTGAGACCCGCGCGTTGCATCGTGGGTCGTTTCCCATAA